CTCTCTCTCTCTCTCTCTGTAACTTGTTACGAGTTCCAAGCTGCTCACTTAGTTGAGAACCAACCACACCAACCACACGAATGGTACCAAGCAACACAGTTTCTGCCATTGTTAACTGGTCACTAGTCCATAGATCAATCAACGTCTTGTTGCGAAAGCCACACCTGGGTTGCAAATAACCTGCTTACTCACCTTTCAAAACGTAGAGCTGCCCTTTCAAACACCGCTTTTAAAACTGCTCTCTCGTTTTTATAAAAGCACAAGATAAAAGGACACAGCTTCCACATTTGCAATGACGTTGAAAATTTATAATTTGACAGCTCTCTGTACCTCTCCTGCTACCAGATACACCCAGCTCTGTCTCTCTCCACTTCCTGCACCCTCTTCAGAACACAATCCTTTATTTTACACTGACTCTCTGTGTTTGTCCTTTTATGAGCAGTTTTGGGTCCTGTATCTAAGGAGTGATGTGCTGGCCTTGGAGGGGGTCCAGAGCTGGTTTACAAGAATGATCCTGGGGATGAAGGGCATGTCATATGAGGAGCGGTTGAGGGCTCTGGGTCTGTACTCAGAGCCTGGAGGGATGAGGTGGGGAGTAGGGTGGTGGAGTTGGGATCTGATTGAAACTTACAGAATACTGAGAGGCCTGGATAGAGCGGACGTGGAGAAGATGTTTCCACCAGGAGAAGAGACTAGTCTCAGAGTGAGGGGACGACCCTTTCGAACTGAGATGAGGAGCAATTTCTTCAGCCAGAGGGTGGCGAATCTGTGGAAACTCATTCACAGAGGCCTGTGGAGGCCAAGGCATTGAGCGTATTTAAGATGGAGATAAGACAGGTTCTTGATTAGGAAGGGGACCAAGGGTTATGAGTAGAAATATATATAAGCCGTGATTGAACAGCGGAGCAGTCTCAATGGGCTGAATGGCCTAATTAAGCTGCTATATTTTATGGTCACTTGGCCAGTTCCACAGACTGAGAGAGGACAATGTGAAATGAGAGCTGGGTGTCCCTTGTACATCAGGCGCTGAAAGTAAGTGTTGCAGCTGGAGCAGGCTGTGAAGAAAATAAATGGTGTGTTGGTCTTCCTAGCGAGAGGATTGGAGTACAGGACCGGGAATGTCTTCCTGCAATTGTACAGGGGCCTTGGTGAGACCACACCTGGAGGATTGCACACTGTTTCGGTCTCCTTATCTGAGGAAAGACATTCTGGTGATGGAGGGAGTGCAGCAAGGTTTACCAGACTGAATCCTGGGATGGCAGGACTGACCTATGAAGAGAGACTGGGATCGGTTACATTCACTGGAGTTTTGAAGAATGAGGGGGGGATTCTCATAGAAACCTGTAAAATTCTAACAGGACTAGGCAGGGTAAACACACAAAGGATGTTCCCAATGACTGGGGAGTCCAGAACCAGGGGGTGACAGTATAAGGATACAGGGTAGGCCATTTCGGACTGTAATGGGGAGAAATGTCTTCATCCAGAGAGTGGGGAGCCTGTGGAATTCTCTGCCTCAGAAAGGAGCTGAGGCCAAAACGTTGAATGTTTTCAGGATGGGGTTCGATATAGTTCTTAGGGCTCAAGGGATCAGAGGGCACGGGGAGAAAGTGGGAGCAGGGGACTGTGTTGGATGATCAGTCATGGCCGTATGGAATGGGGGGGAGCAGGCTCGAAGGGCAGAATGGCCTCCTCCTGCTCCAGTTTTCTGTCTGTTTTCTCTCACCGGCTCGTTGTATGGCACTGACCCCTGACCCTTTTCCTCCCCATGATGTTAGCTCCACCAGTCATTGTGCAGCCACCCAGCAATCTAACAGTGAACTATACCCAGGACGCTCTCTTCACGTGCCAGGCTGAGGCATACCCTGGCAACCTGAGCTACACCTGGTTCAGGGACGGCATCAATGTCCATCATGACAGGTGTGTTGGCAGGGCATCGCTAAGCAAGGGAAGGGGGGGGCGCGGGGAAGGGAGGTGGTGCGTTGAGGGGCGGTCGCACCGAGATCTGTGCCAATCTGCTTCAAAACCCATAGCTCATTCCCCGACAGTGCGGCCCTCCCTCAGCAGTGACCCTCCCACAGTGCGTAACTCCCTCAGCACTGTCCATCCGACAGTGCGGCTCTCCCTCAGCACTGACCCTCCCACAGTGCGGCGCTCCCTCAGCACTGACCCTCCAACAGTGTGACGCTTCCTCAGCACTGACCCTCTGACAGTGCGGCTCTCCATCAGTACTGACCCTCCGACAGTGTGACGCTTCCTCAGCACTGACCCTCTGACAGTGCCCACTCCCTCAGCACTGACCCTCCGACAGTGCCCATTCCCTCAGCACTGACCCTCCCACAGTGCCCATTCCCTCAGCACTGACCCTCCGACAGTGCGGCGCTCCCTCAGCACTGACCCTCCGACAGTGCGGCGCTCCCTCACACTGACCCTCCGACACTGCCCGCTCCCTCAGCACTGACCCTCCGACAGTGCGGCGCACCCTCAGCACTGACCCTCCG